CTCCTGAGTAGCTGGGACTACAGGCTTATGCCACCACACCCAGCTAATTTTTGTAGAGATGGGGCTTCACCATATTGTCCAGTCTGGTCTTGAACCCCTGACCTCAGGTGATCTGCCTGCCTTGGCTTCCCAAAGTGCAGGGATCACAGGCACGAACCACCGCACTCAGCCAATTCTTATATGTATTAATGAAAACCTAAAATAAAGATATTTCACCTAATCAGAGAGTCAAGAAAAGTGATATTTGAACTGAGATTTGAAGAATTGCTGGAGGCTAAGGAGGAAGAAAGTGTGTTTTAGGCATAGTAAACAGCATTTTCAAAAAGCTCAATGATAGGAAGAAGCATAGTGACATAAGAAACTCTGGTAAAGGCCAGTGTAGCTGGAACAGGGATAAAGAAATAAGAAACTTGGATAAAATGAGAAAATACTGCGTTTTATAGGCAGTGATAAAGAGTTGTGTTTAACTGGATGTGGTGGCTCACACCTATAATTCAAATACTTTGGGAGGCCAAGGCAGGTGGATTGCTTGAGTTCAAGGAGTTCAGGAGCAGCCTGGGCAACATGATGAAATCTCCTCTCTGCAAAAATTTAGCTGGGCATGGTTGTGTGTGCTTGTGGTACCAGTTACTCAGGAGTCTTTGGTGGGAGGATTGCCTGAGCCCAGCAGGCTGCAGTGAGCCAAGATTGCATCACTGTACTCCAGCCTGGGCAACAGAGCAAGACCCTGTTTCAAAAAAACAGAAGTATTGCCTCTATTTTAAAATCAATTGTAAACTATAACAGAATAAGGGTGGGAAACATAACCAGATTTGTGTGTTTTTAATTGTGGTAAAATATACTTAACGTACACATAACTTACCATTGTAAACATGTGGTTTATTGATGTTAAGTACAGTTACACCGTTATGCAACCATCACCACCATTCATCCTGGATTCGTGGAGGGGTTTTAATTTTTGTTTTTGTAATTTCAACTTTTAGATTGAGAAAGTACATGTACAGATTTGTTACATGGGTATATGCTGAGGTTTGGGGTATGATTGATTGCATCATCCAGGTAGGGAGCATAGAGTACCCAATTGTTAGTTTTTCAACTCTTCCTCCTTCCCTCCCTTCTCCCTCTAGTAGTCCCCAGTGTCTATTATTGCCATGTGTATGTTCATGTATACCCAGTGTTTAGCTCCCACTTACGAGAACATGTGGTATTTGGCTTTCTTTTCCTGAGTTAATTTGATTATGATAATGGCCTCCAGCTGCATCTGTATTGCTGCAAAGGACATAATGTCATTCTTTTTTTGTGGCTGTGTAGTATTATGTAGTGTGTATGTACCATATTTTCTTTATCCATTTAACTTGGATGGACACCTACCTAGGTTGACTCCTTGTCTTTGCTATTGTGAATAGTGCTGCGATGAACATTTGAGTGCATGTGTGTTTTTTGGTAGAGTGATTTATTTTCTTTTTGATGTATACTCAGTAATGGGATTGCTAGATGGAATGGTGGTTCTGTTTTAAGTTCTTTGAGAGATCTCTGTACTGCTTTCCACAGTGGCTGAATTAATTTATATTCCCACCATGCCTGGGATTACAGGCATGAGCCACCTAACCTGGCCAAAGAATGATCTTTGAATGGATCCTGGATATTAAATGCATTATTGTGACAACTGGGAAAATTGAACACTAACTTTATATTATACAGTAGTCTAACAATACAAAATTGCCTAACTGTGGTAAAATAACATCCTCATGTTTAGGAGATAAATGTTGAAGTATTACTATTTGGAGGTGAAGTGTTTTGAGTCTGTAATCTAATCTCAAATGGTTCAGCAAATAACTAAAACCAGCTTTATCCACAGATTCCAACATTGTCTGCTTAAAAGATCCCAAATAGTCTTCAAAAGAACTATTAGAATTAATAAGTGGATTCAGCAAGTTCACAGGACCCAGATTCAGCATACACAGTCTATCATATTTTTATGTATTAGAAATGAACAATTCATAATGAAATTTAAATAAGTATCATTTATAATCGCAGACAAAAAAACAATGAAATACTTAGGTATAATTGTAACAAACTATGTTTAAGATTTATAGGCGGGAAACTACCAAATAATGAAAGAAATCTAAGAAATAGAAATAAACCATATATCTTAGTTAAAACCCAGATATATTAAAGTTAGAATTTAAGTTAGAAGAAACAAAAATTTAAGTTAGAAACAATCTCTTCTTCTAAAAACCTATTGAGGTTTATTGAGAAAGAAATAGAGCTTGAGGGCCGGGTGTGGTAGCTTATACCTGTAATCCCAGCACTTTGGGAGGCCAAGGTAGGTAGATCACAAGGTCAGGAGATTGAAGCCATCCTGGCTAATGCAGTGAAACCCCGTCTCTACTAAAAAATTAGCTGGGTGTGGCCGCATGTGCCTGTAGTCCCAGCTACTTGAGAGGCGAGGCAGGAGAATCACTCGAATCTGGGAGGTGGAGGTTGCAGTGAGCCGAGATCACGCTGCAGCACTCCAGCTTGGGCAACAGAGCAAGATTCCGTCTTAAAAAAAAGAAGAAGAAATAGAGATTGAGACCAGGTGCAGTAGCTCTTGCCTGTAATCCCAGCACTTTGGGAGCCGAGGTGGGCAGATCATCTGAGGTCAGGAGTTTGAGACTAGCTTACTAGCTTAGCCAACATGATGAACCCCTGTCTCTACTAAAAATACAAAAGTTAGTCAGGTGTGATGGTGGGCACCTTTAATCCCAGCTACTCGGGAGGCTGAGGCAGGAGAATCACTTGAACCCAGGAGGTTGCAGTGAGCTGAGATGATGCCATTGCACTCTAGCCTGGGCAACAAGAGTGAAACTCCA